TTGAGTATTTAAATCCATTTGCCCCAAACAGACTAATATCCCATTTTGTAATTAGTATTTGAAATTTCTACAGGGAAAAAAAAAAAAGTAAATGAATACAACTAAACAGTAGAATTTAATTTTAAATTCAAGAAAGGTGGTTGTATTTATGTAAGGCAAATTGAAGACTCAATTTCATAATGTCATTGCTTTTTACTGCTTTTTTGATAGATCCCATTTTCAGGAGCCAGGCATTTCAAAAAACACAAAATATGGTTAGATGTGTTTTGGGAGATATAATTCCCATATTAAACACATGGGATTGAAAAGGGGATGATGAGTACTCCTGTACAATGTGAATTTCAATAAAGATGACAAGAGCCTCCCTGGAAGGCAGCCACATGGAAGTACAGTTATATGCATCATTTTGACAATAAGCTTGTTCCCAGCAGGTTATCGTGACGAAAAAGGCTGCTCAGATATTAATGATGAGAAAGGGTACTGTAGCAATGAGTACTCACTATTCACACAGTTAAAGTGCAGCTACCTTAACTTCCTTCCAGGCTCAGTGAAAAGCAATCAGTACCACCTCAGTGGTCCCTGCATAGCCTGTGGAGGGATTCTAGCAATCCCTAAAATTAAGTGAGGGAACCACAAGCAGCAGTACTTAGGGTTGCAGAGATACATTACTCTGGTTGCAGAGACTACTGGAGTGTAGTGACCCCTGTGTGCCTAGTTGGAGGAAGCAGCATGCTGGAAGAAGCACCACACATCATTAAGATTTTGGACATTATAGTCTCCTTAGCCATATGTCCTGCATCCATTTCAGCACACTTTTGTTCGTGTAGCTCTTAAGACTTACACAATGCTCAGTTACCCTTGAATACCTATGCTAATGGAATGTTGTTTTCTGCAAAAGCCTCTGCTCTTGAGCCTTGTGGCAGTGTTATCTTCTCTCCCTAATTCCCACTGATAAGAAAGTAGTGATGGTTCCAAAATGTGCTGTCATTAATCTGATTCATCAAATACCTTGAAATAATTTTTATGTAATTAAATAATAACACAAACTGCCATTAGTAATACAATGCTATTGACAGGATTAGTTTTCAAAAACTTCTATGAGATCATTGTTAAACCTCTTGTAGAGACTGGGAAACGAAGCACAAAATCATTAACTACCTTGCTAATACCACAGATCACAGTGTCAGCCAGAACTGGGGCTGGCTTCAAGAAACTAATAGTGATTTAAAAAGTAAGCCAGATACTTTCAATCCAGCTACCCAAGCACCATGAGGAGGATCTGCAAGTTTATAAAAGCTAGACTAAATATGTACAAAATTTTTATTTTCTTGGGAGGACTCATGTTCCCAAGCTTTCCTCCCATGACTACAAAGTCTGAAACCCAACTGTTAGTTCCTTAACCTACATCTATTAAAAAAAAATAAAAATGATTCAATCACATGATCAAAGACTTAGAAAAAAAGCAAATATCTACAGAATAAAAAAAAAGAATCAAAAAAGCCAACAATATCAGGACAGCCCCTTAACAAAAACTGTCCTGGTAACTAGAGTGCCAAGAAGATTTCAGTGAAGACAGGGAAGTTAGTTCTGGGCAAAACTGAAGCATTTTTAAAATGTGTCTTTGTAGATGTGAATATGAAGAATAAAAAGACTTTCAACACAATATATTGTGTTACCTAGTGCCGAAACAAAGGCTCATGTTTGTAGAAAGTGTTACATCCATGAACTCTGATTTCCTTTCACTGCCCATGCTCTTCTGATTGTAGACATAACTTTCAATAATGACATGAATGAATACTCTGCATCCATTCCCACATGGTGCTCTCAAAGGAAAACTTGCTACTCAAAAATTGTCTCTCTACTCATGCCTTCAATGGTACAGATTTTCAGCTGTTGCACACTGACATAGCCCTGTTAATATCAATTCATATGAACTGATAATTCCATCAAAAAACTAATTACACTTATCCTAAAATGCGAGTATATTGTTCTAGACCTCCAAATCTCCCAGGAGCTGACAGGCCACCATAAAAGCAAGGGTTATAAACTTGATTTTATAATAGGCAAATAAAGCTTTGGCCTATGAATTCTCAGCCTATTAAGTTAATGAGCCTTGAAAAAACAATAATCTGAGGAGCAGCTGACAAATTATCTGGAGCAGCAATTTGAAAGGTGCTGGCTGGCTTACAAGCATTTCAGTTGGGAGAACATGGCATCATGTTCCTCTTCCTCTGGAACAGTCATCTGTCAAACTAAATTTCTTGCAGATCAACAGTAGATTCTAAATATTGGAGCACTGAGATACAACAATAACTGCAGCTACCAAAAACTGAGGTTGACAAATGCTGATGAAACTCTTTCTAGGAAGTCTGCAGGAAGACAGAGAGATAACTTTTTATTTCTGACTGGAGATCTTTTAAGTGTTTAATATGGAGGAATTCAGGTGAGGAAAGGGAGATCTTTCAAAATACCCGGTCAATATTTGGAAGATTTTTTTTTTAGTACAGCTTCCGATAGAGATGGTGGTATCACAGCTGTCGATTTAAAACAAAGTCTTTTATTGGATTAATTCTTCAAAATACTCAACACAATACAGCCCTGAGACACAATGCCTTCGTGAAATTTAGGGCTGTGTACACTGCACACTTTTGCAAAAACAGCCACTTGGATTACAGTAAAATGAGATCAATACTTTTCTAAAATCTGTTCTCCAACTGTGAATACTGAGTCCATTTGGAAATTGAATCACGATACATTGTAAAGCTGCCACTTTCCTCAACAAAGGCATTTGGTGAAATAATATTTCAAATGTCTTCCTCCATGCTCAATTATTCAGAGTCCTGTGGAAAAGATGACGGTATTGAGAACATGGAAAACTGTCATATTTTCCATCTGAATGTTATTTCACAGTGGGAAGGAAGTACAAATTATAGTAATCAGTTGCCTCTACCACAGCATGTAGCAGAGCATAGTGCAGAGCATTTAACCATCAGTTGTGTCCTTTCCCATATTTTGTTCTCTTGCAGGTTTTTTTTGGACTGTTGATTTAGACAAATTGATTAAATATACAGGGACTAGAGCTTAATATTACATCAAAGTAGAATGAAGTTAAATGAAACCTTGTTCTTTAAGAAAATTGTTAACTGACACTCAGTAGAACAATACCCAGCTTTCTAAATCCTGATGTTAGCTCATCAAATATCTGATGACCAAGTATTCAATCAATCAACAATAAAGCAAAAGGATACACAGAATTATACCTTCAGGTGGCAAAACAGTCTAGCTCTATGAGCTCTCCAGGGCTCCACTGATTACTGACATCTAAGTATGTGGTTGCAGGAATTAGCCCTAACATACTCATCCTTTTCCCCCAACCTATCTCCATAGTTGTGATAGTTACGTCTATACAGACTAACCATTTGGAAATGAATTGGCTCTCTCTGTGGTTAGCAGGCCATGAAATTCTATGGCCTCAAAATCCCCTAGAACCTGCTCATTCAACTTTCTACTTCAAGATGGACCCTTCCCTTCTAAAGGGACCATTTTAAGAGTCTTTCTGTAATGAACTCTTCCATTGTTTCATTCTAAACACACAAAAGCACTGTCATGCACAGGTAAATTACTCATATGTCACTGTACAATATATCTAAAGACCTGAAGTAATTTTACAACTGTTTGCCCAGTTATTCCATTTAAGGTAATATTTGCAGAGAAATTATAATACTGTGGGTAGATCTGTTAGTTCCTGGCACTCTTGTGCAAATATTTATACCTTTTTATAACATTGTACTAATCAATGTATTTCACTCAAACTTGCACTGGCCTGAACAGCTTGACCAATCACTTTGACCAGTGATGAAGCATCTTTTATAAATTCTAGAAGCTACAGAGTTTTCATTCTAATAAACTGACATCGTCTGCGTGGTCTTGCCACATCTGTCACATTCTTCATTAGTATTTGTCTTATTGCTTTTTTAGTGGAGCTTTCTATTTTATAGCATTGAAATGTCTTTCACAGTTGTTTTCCTAATCCCTGAGGTTTCTTTCCTGTTATTGTATCTTACATTAGTTTACCGTTTTACTTTCCACTTACACACTTCTGCTCTTCTCTTCCCACATTACTCTTTGCTTTGAAAAACATTTTCTGTAGAAAATGTCTGTGATCAAACCTCCAAACACAATTAGTTTTCTTCTCCTCTAGAATATAAAAGATGATAGACTTTTCCTAACAAACGAAATACTCTTGAAAATTTGTGCCTAAATATTCCTCTATCTTTCAAATATTGTATGTAAATATTTATTACAATCATTGTAGACTATAGAAGATTAGCTGGGTTATACAAGCACACAGTTTTGGATAGTACACTTTTCTTCATTAAATATTTATGAGGAGGCAATCCCTGACAATATTTTATAGGAAGGTCTTCCATTATTTCAGTTATGGAAATGTTCATCATTTTAGATTTTACTAACTGTCCTCTCAGAGCACAGCTAGCCTCGGAAATGCTAAATTTTAGATGCATTCTTAACTCTGATTTGGTGAGGGAGGTGATTCTTTTTTGCTCTATTTCTTCTGAATGGCTTAGGCAGCTGCCCTATAAACCCAAAGATGCTCAGTGAATTAAGTATGCACGAAACAGAAATAAAGTGACTGAATCAAAACAAAATACTATAGCTTTCAGTGAAGTCTAAGTCACCTTCCATACTCACAGAGAAACAAACACCAAATTCAGTTGTAAAATGTGATACATATTATGTAACCTATTTTAGAGCACCATTCCAATGGATCAAAACATTGCTTGTGTTCATCACTGGATTTGGATGACCAAAATTATATAACAAGGCAGCATATATCTTCCAGTGGTACAGATGTGAAAGCATGGTTAAAAATAAGCACAAGCTGTAGAAAAAGATCTATGGTGAGGATGCAAACTATGAGATAAATCCAGTGATGTTCATGCACTCTAACAAAGGAGGTGAGGAAGAAGCGCATGCAGTACCTGGTGATCTCAGAGTCAGGGAGCAGGCCTACGTGGTAGTGGGGATAGGGAGCTGTAAGAAGGAAGCTTTTGTCACACTCGACAGGGGAATAGTGCCTAGGAGAAGGTGGTTTATCACACAGTTTGTTCACAGTGCTGTAAACAGGTTCAGGAGGCCTGGTGATACAGAGACAAGAGTAAAAGATCAGGTGCATATTAGTTGCTGAGAACATAGAGCAAACACAGCAATCATTTTAAAAGCATGCATAGTAAATCTGTCAAGACCTTTTCAGCAGGGATTTTCCGACAAGTAAAGTGTGTTGTTAAAGGAATCGTTAGAATTTGGTAAAAGTAGTATGGCATTCAAGTAACTGCATATACACAATATAAGTGGACCATAAAACTGCTCTATAGGAAGTGTGTCACTGAAAGAGAATATATTATCTCTGAAGTGGAGAAAGTGAAGAATTTTCCCACATACTCTGCTTTTTGCTTTTTTAATTTTTGTTTTTAAATCAAACAGCATTACTTTTACACAACTTTCTGTGATCTTAATTTTGAGTACAGCATAGAAGAAAATATGTTTATTATCTGAAAAGAAGTATTTTTTACCCATTAATGTATGATACAGATGAAGGACATATTATTTGTTAATACAACATACTCCTGCCCCAGCGAGCTGGGGCTTTCTTTGCAAGTAGAGTTGTGGTCAAATTGAGCCATATCCTATAATAACACTGATGGTAACAAACAGTGTGAGCAATTCATCTCATTGGCAGGCAATTTGTTGCGTTTCAAGAGTTCATTGCTCTCTTTTCAGATTCAGCCTTCAAAATCTGATTATGCAGACCACATCTGAAACAAGTTAACCTCGTTGACAAGGCCACTGCAATCGCACTTGCAATGCTGCTCCAAATTACAGACAGCAGCTTGTGAAGTTAGATACAACGAATAAGATCCTGAACCCAAAATTTCTCTCCAGCCACCCATCTGGGAGAGGCAATACTTACCACAGCCCTCCCAGGAGCCACCTGGGAGAGGGGAGAAGGGAACGCAGCCTTTAGTACCAACCAGCCGGGGATCCACAGGAGACATCCAGCAGTTTTCAAAAAAACCCACACCACATACGCAGTACATTTCCCACCATGTAACTTCTTCAACTACTTTTTTGGCCCCAGTAGATACACCAGGGCCCACTGGCAGAGTGAACCCTGACTCATCATTTCCTGACATTTCTGCTCTAAAGAGTGCCAAGATGCAATTGCTGTCATATGCTTGCTTCTGCCAGAAGATCCAGGGTATGCCACTGTCTTTAATCACTGTAACACAGTATTAGCTAGACGGAAATCTTATTTCAGAAGCCTGAAAATAACACAAGGCCAAGAAGTTAATGAACTTTTTTGTTCTTCTGGCTGCACTGTGCCTCACATGGGTGTGGGTTGTGCTGTGAGTTTCACAGGTACCAGAATTTATTACAGTCATGGATTTGCTGGCAGATACAGAGAATCTAATTTCCTTTGTTTTTAGCTTCTAGGTTTGTCCTCTGGGGGAAAAGAAGTAGCTACTTTACTCAAAAATTGATCTCACTCAACGTTAATAACATTATTCATAGCAATCTGACACATGATTTGAAAACTCTCTGTGCCTGACTTTCCCAGGGAAAACTTTACAGTCAAAAATATGGCAATTCTGTCAAGCATTTAGTAAAATCCCTTTTAACATATTGAAAGTTGCAATCATTTTTTAATCAGTGTATTTTGCACTTGTTTCAGAGAGTGGATTTAATAATTTATTTACTAAATCAATTGCTGCTTTCAATATAAAAGAAAACAAAACAACCCCCCAGAACAAACAAAAAAATACCACAAAAAATAAAATCCAGAGACAAAAAACACTTCTATTTCACTTTTGTCCAATACTGTCTTTTATTCCCTCAGAAACCACTTTTGCTTTTAAGCAATATAAGAAAGAACAAGTACAAATATCAAATATAAATGATACCTACTAAGAAAATTAAAGAAATATTGCCCCACTGCAGGAAGATGAATAAGAACTGTAGATTTCTCCATGGCTTAAAACACTAACCAGTCCTCAAACAACTTGTTAGCTTCCCATATCCAAGTTAACTGTCTTCTCTGAGTTGTACATGACATGAGAGTGTTGCTACCCCTTGGATATAGCGTGAATGCTCAAACTACACTGAGTCATCAGTGAGTGACAATCCAACCTTGTGCTGAGACACAAATCATGCCAGAGAGATGGAGAGATATGAGGGATTTCTTTGTCAATTGACAGTTACAAGCTGCTTGCAAAAGCAAAATGAACTTAAACATTCAACATCTACCTAGATATTGAGACCAAATTAGTCCTTCAAATATAAACACAAAGTCCCTCTTGCCGGGTGGTAAGATAACAGGGAACAGGAACAAGTCACAGCACTGATTATAAAATCCTCTACTCATTGGTATTATATAAGTGATACCATGACCTAGTTAACAGCATAACCCATATTTGAGTTGAAGAGAGAGGTCTTAAGGTTAAGAAAATGAGTTCATACTTATCATCTTTTAAAACCTGGACTCTTTGTTGGACTCTTGGGTTAGAATAGGATTCAGGGTATCAGTTAATTCCAGTTAAAAGTGCATTTCCTGTAAGGCCTATGAAATGGTCTGAGATCACCATACCCACCTATTTCACATCAGATGCTAACCTGTTCAAGGTCATTGAGATCATGTACCGCATTGATCCTTTAGTAGATCCCTTCACACTAATCAGATACCTTCACACTATTCAGATGAATATGCTAACAGCTATCAGTTGCATAGCTGGGCTCTGCCTGCATATTTTACTGGAACAGAAAAGCAAGAACTTGACAGAAAGAAAGCAATATGTAACACCCAGGGTCCAGCTCAGATCAGTATGAAGTTATTTTCTCTCTCAATTTGGTTTAGTAAATATGAATTAAGTAATTTAAAAATATTTGAAAGCTGGGATAAAAAATATAAAGTAGAAGAATGCATAAAAAATATGGGCAAGATCACTGTCCTGGTCATATAAAGTGTGTTCCATGTAGGCCACTAATTGCTTAAAGTAATACGAGATACTTGCTGCAACAGCTTGTCTTCAAATATCCTCCTGATTCTTCCCCTCCTCTATGGCAAACTACAATAATAATAATAATAATAATAATAATAATAATAATAATAATAGTAAACTACAATAGTACCTGCCTACTTTGTAAGACATCAATCCCATGTTTAAAAAAAAAAAAGATTATGAAGATTCAGCTTTATTAAATAATTGTAACGCAGCATTTTCTCTTGTCATTTATATTTCTCCTCACAGAAAGAAGAAAGAACTTTTTTCCAAAGGGATCAGCCCAACTGGTAAATCCTGTCTTGCACATCTTCTCTAGTGCTATGACAGAAACAGATTGTCTTCTCTCAAAGCATGGGATAATGAGAATGTTATTTCAAAAGAGTTTCTAATGTGCCATTCTGAAAAAATACAGTCAAGGTCACCTCAACTTTTCTTGCAAAAAGGAGCCAGACTGAACATAAACATTGACGCCTTATTTTATGATGCGTTAATTCTTCAAATGAATTTAAAAACATGTAGCAGGTCATTTAGCATGCTTTAAGAAAAGTGTAAAGGCTAGATATAAATAATTTAATGACAGATTCACTCTAACTTATGTGCAATTCCATCACTTTCAGGTACAGCAGGTACAGCTTCAGAGGTTTTACTTAAAAATAAACACTAAGCAGTTTTTGTAATTTTTATTATGAGGAAGAACAAAGAACTACATGATCCAATTTCTTTTGTCCATTATCTTCATTTTTGTTAATATTATGCAAAAAATCCCCTTAAAATGCCAAATGAGTGAATATTACAATATACATCTTGGATAATTGTAATATCTCAAAGTGTAATACGGGCCTACTCTTAAAAACAAGTAACTACTGCAGCAACTTCTTCTCTAGCAGATCTGCTCCCTTTCTGCCTTTAAGCCATTTATTGAGTTACAAACATACATTATATTCTCTGTCTTTATCAGTGAGCTAAAAACCAAGTTTTGTGATAAGTGAGAGCAGCAACTAGTAGGTCTGGTTGTACAGCACTAATTATGTCAGCATGAGAATGAGGCATATAATAGTAAAGGAAAGGCAACAGAAAATGTAAGTGGTAAAAGTAAGCATAGCATGGCCTGAATATGCCTCAGTAAATAGTTCAATTCATAGGACAGAGAATTGAGTCACTTAACACCAAAGGTAAGATTTTAAACGGTAGCATGAAGCTGGAATTATTCATTACAGACCTAACAGCAATAAGGCACAATTCCCGCAGAAAGGTGGAACTAATTGGTGGAAAAGCTAACAGTAACAGTGGGAGGTAGAAAATTGATCTGAAACTGGTTTTATTTATTTATTTCATAACAGATTGTGTAAAGAAAGCAAATCTTCCTAGTTGTTTGTAGTCCTTATTATTCCTTGTTTAGATCATCATTGTGTTATTGTTTCAGGCTGACTTAATTGCACGACAGAAGTTATAAGAAAATGAAATTATTAAAAACCATTCTCTCCTCAGCATCGTGCAGGGTCCTCAATTTAAAATTAACTTTTTTTTTTTAATTGCAGAATCCTGTTTGGAAGGCTTCAGTTGCCAACACATAGCACATTAAATGTTAACGGTTTCAGTTTTTAAAACATTTTAAAACCTTTTATGATATGGAAAGAAACCAGCTAAACTCTCATAGCATACGAGCATGCAGGGCTATAGCCAGGAAACATTAAATTCAATCCGAGAAAAAATCTCCCAATGCTACAAGTTTCCAACTTTTTTTTCCCCAGGAGAATCACATACCTTATTGTTCAATAGGGTAAATTAGAACTGAAAGTTGATTTTATTCCATAAGTTGTATCCTGGCAATTTAAATGAGACCAAATGACTGATATGTTTATTTCAACTTGATGCAAGACAGAAAAGGAATGTGAAGAGCTGGAGGAAAATATAGAAGTACAGTACCTTTGTTCTACCAGGAAATTCTACGATTAATAATTTTTCAGCTTTTCCATTATTAACTGTTATTTTCATATGCCTTAAAGTTTTCTATAACAGCAAAACAAGTGTTTTTTAGCATAGTAGTGAAGAGTAAGGATTGCCTTGTTCCTCTTAAC